ACTCATAATGTTATTTAGTTTTATTATTGCAATAAAATGTTATTCTATTATTATCATTTAAATTATAGTTGAATTACCTAGATGTCTGTAAAATAATTTGGTAAAAATGCAGTTCAGTGCTGTAGTAAATAAATTGTTTTATCTTAAATATATGTATACATACGGACTTGTATTATAATGTTTTTCAAATAGTATACAGGTGTTCCTTGGCTTTTGTGGTTCACTCCAGAGGGATCGCCTACGACCATGGACCGACTAGTAACGCTGGACGCTAATTGCAGGCCGAGGAAGATTGAGCTCAAAATGAAATGATCCTGTAGAAATCAACCACTTAGTCGTCTTTTACGACAAGCGGCCTCTTAGTCACCTCTGTTTTTTGTTTAATATAATTTCCATGATACGGCGCATTGTATGTGCAAAATAGATACTTGATTTCATTGAAAACATCCATTACGTTGAAACATATATTCTATTTTAAACGCATATCATCACTCGACACAAGCACTTTTTAAATTAATACAATCAGTTAAAAATGTACAATACACTCCAAAGAGATGACAATTTTTAAAAATATATTTAGTAGCTAAAAGGAGTTCATTATAGTTTTTTTTCTGAACACCATATGTTTTCGAATGAGTGTTAAGGATTGATATCGGTAATATAATTTTGTACAGGTAGAGCATTGTACAAACAATTTTATAAGCACGTGGCTTTTTGCGCTCTCTCTTTTTTTATGTATGTCGATCAAATCACATACGATGTTTTTGAGGGTCAACAGTTAAAACAATTCACCTGTTCTGCCTTCATAACTCAAAATTCGGAAAAACAAAAAGTTTACGTTTTTTAAAATTTCTTATTTGGTTTGCTATAACTTTTAGACAAATTGAAACTGAAATGACGCATTAATTAGGTATAACCACCACTAACTAACAATTTCATTAAACCAGAAATTTGTATTTTGTTGTTTATTATATTTTATGCGCATATTTAAGACCTTAAGGATAAAAATTAGTAAGAATTAAAACTAGTAAATACCTTATAACATATTAAAACAATTACTACACATTTTGTATTACGGAAAATCTGTAGTTCCAGCTTTAACACGCTATAACTTATGAAACATGAATGGATCGAGTTGGTTATTTTATAAACACATCTAGATGTCACTATGAAGTACTAGCAATTAAGTATCAGTTTGATTTATTTATTTGTGTAACTTTATTTTTTATCTGACCACTTTGATTAAGTATCAAATTAATCGATTAGAATTATCAATTAGTATAATGTGGATAATTAGGATAACTAGGGGTATCAAAACTAAAAAAGTTTACTCTTTCTAAATACCTATTTTACATAGGATAATATTTTTATGAATAAACATCTTAGTAAATTTGAACGCTAATTTATTTCAATAAACTGATAATAGAAGATATGATAAATTAATAACACATTTTTTTTTTTTAAAGATTTACTGACTAATGTATAACAATTTTATTAGAACATAAAATAAAATATAATATATAACATAATATATAGCATATAATATATAACATAATATATAGCATATAACATAAACATCAAATATATATTTTAAATACCAACGATTTTTTAAATTATATTTTGTTTATATACTCATAGAAATAAAAATACAAAAAGAGATTTTAATAAAACAATAAATACTACATATTTTAGTTACTAACATTACTTACTACATATTTTAGTTAAATAGTAGTTTTAGGGATTTAGGTCTTTTTTTTTAAGATCATTAATGGGTTTAAGTTTTCTAATTGTTTGTTGTTTGACTTGGATTCATTTTTTAATGATAAAATTTGAAAAATAAAAAGAAAAAACAACAAGAAAAAACCAATAACAATTATTAATACACATATTAGTTTGATATAGTATACATAATTTGTGGAGTTTTCCTGGTGATTCGAATCAGCATTTTGTTCCTCGCGGCCAGGATATGACATCTGTAAGGATAAGAAAATAAAACAGTCGTTAGCGACGTAAGCCTTTTTAAGGACTGGGTATTTACTTAGGCAGTTTTAGAAATCTATACTTGGTTCGTTAGCTAAGTGACTACTACACACTTCCTTTTAGTCTTCAAAGCGGGAATATGAATGTATGGTAAAATATGATAGTGGCCACTTAAGAAGGACGGTACTCGGATTTACATAAGAAAATTAAACAAAAAATAAGAGGAATTTATCTAAGGTTTAACATTGAGACATTGATACTAAAACAATAAAAAATGAAATAAAAAACATATAGCTCACTTCATTATAAAGAAACCACACTAAGCTAATTTTCGAGAAGAATAGTACTTTTGTATTTCAAATACTACGAATTATTTATGGTAGAGACATAAATAATAAAGCGTTTGAAATAATAATTTGATAATAAATTAGTGTAGAAGGGTAAATCACTTCCACGCTATGTATGCCGGATAGCTGAACGTTTACTGGGGGTAGTAACAGCCGGGGGTGGCTATTATATTCTCTCTTTGATCTCACAGCAACTTTGAGCAACACTAATACGAGTACTCATACATAAACGGTGTATTGACTTGACGGTGTTATAATTACAAACCAAATTAAATACACTGTCTGGATGCTGTATGGGCCAAGAGGCTTCAACATTAATAAAATGCATACTAACACAGGGGAGTCGAAATAATATAACCAGTCTGTCCGGACTTAACGGATCGAGCAGACTGATTAGCAAAAGCTTCGAAGTCACTAATATAAAATTAATATTTCATAAATAATGTTTCTAAATACACATGATTGTAAAATACAGCTCGGTCAACTTGAAGTCTTAAAAAAAAGTTAAGCAATATACTACTTAGCAGAAAGAAATAATAAATATGGTGTCAATAGAATTTTACATACACTATAACTGTTGTTAACATTTATATTATTCCATTTCGTTTTTTTCTAAATCAATTATGATACCAGAGACCTTAAAATTTATATAAACCGCATACTGCAATGTATTTATGAAAATTCAAAATTTTGATTATTAACTATCAAAAAGTAAAAAGATTGCATGTTTTCCATTTAATTGGAATGCTAGTTTTGTCACGTTGTTAAAAAAAAGGAAACGATTTATTTTTCTTAATTCGATTGCTCTATGACGAAAGGGACTATGCGACTATACTCAAGGTTTCCAGGAGACCAAAAAAATGGAATTTTTTATCATTTAAAACTTCAAACTCCGATAACTTTTATTGAACGAGTTTTCAAATTTTCTTCAGAAGTAATTGCTTAAGTAGATTTTTAATAAGTCATAACTATTATGTGCAGTATTGTATTATACTGTGATTATACAACAATTTTTCTCGAGACTAACGGCTAACCTAAATATAATTGAAATGTTAGGGAATAACCGACGTCGCTTGGTCCCCATATATTTTATAATATTAGCGATAATTCCCTAAAAATGTCGCTTAGACTCGTGTTTTAGAGCTAACACATAATGAAGTGTCATTTTACCCGAAATTTAAAAACTTAATTATTCGTTAAAATTTAGCCACTCAGACGTACCAGCCTGCACATATTTTGAAGCACTTAAGTCCCATTTACCTAATAATACATGCAATGTCACTTATTCCCTAATTGTTGTGAAGCCGTCGATTTCTATAATTTCTAAAATATTTTAATATTTTATACTATTATATCTAAACAAATTCATCTTTTACTTGTACATTAGTGAAAGATGATCATCAGAATATTATTAAAGGAAAATAAACGGCGACAAATTTGTAAATTTCTAAAAAAATGTATTGGATCTATTTGCATTAAGATATTATTTAAATAACAATTTTACGATTTCTGGCTCAACGTTTGATAAATTAAGCCAGGCTATACCCGCAAGTAAACGTTATTCAAAAAAAAATTCATGTTTTTTTAATTCATAGTTGATTTCTTTTATCACAGACAGAGAGGAAATTGAATACTTTAAAATTTCAAATTCTGAATTTTTTAAAATGTAGATATTTCCTCAAGGGTTCTACAAGGAAATTACTTTTTGCTGATAACTTGATTGAAATGATTTCGATTAATAAAATATCTCTAGGATAAATATATTTTACAAAATAGTTTTAATTTCATATCAGCCCGGTGTAAGCTTAATAATTTGTCATTAAATATAATTAAGTGCAAAGTCATGTCATTTTCGACATCTCGCGCTCAAATTCTCCATGAATATAATTTAGAAAATTTAATGCTTCAGCGTATGTTTGATAATGGCAATTCAGGTGTTATATTTGACGCGACTCTCTTATCCAAAAAATATGATTTAAATCATAAAAAAAAATCATTATTTAGGAACTATGAAGATTTTACAAACTATGATACTTTAAACACATTGTAATTTAGGCACATTGCTATTTTCTACACTAGAATTATAACTGAGTAGTCTGATCGCTATTTTGCAATGTCCCCATATAAAGTATGAAGCTATCCAAAATTATTACATTCACTTTATATCTTATAAATGTGGTATCCCTCGTCTACCTCATTCACAATATAAGTCGTTTTAAGATACATTAAAAAGTGTTGTAATTTTGTAGTTTTTCTTGTTAAAAACTTTTTTGCTTATGCTATATTAAAATATTAGACAGTATTTAAATATTTGTTTTATTTCATATTTTCTATAGCTTTATTAACGTTTGAAACTTAAATAGCGATATGTATATTTAACTGAATTTTTAAATAAAACTGGTCAATAACGAGTTTTGAACAAATCATTTTAAAGTTTTTAACGTTTAAAGTTAGTATGGGAGGTGGAGTGTGGTTGAGTAGTGCGCACAATTAAAATTAACTCTATACCCCACCCTCTTCTAAGTTTTCATGCTTACTATAAATATTCAGTGTTAAATATTTTCATTTTGCGATACTGGGAATTGATAATTATTAGTTCTGTTATCGTTCAGTCACAACCAGAACGCTGTTACTGTCCTAGTTTATTTTATATTATTTTTTAATAATCGTAACGATCATATTTCGCTTGACCGTTACTTCGCGTCCCAAACCAACTGACACAGCACCCCCGACTATAGGTAGGGGAACGGTCGCACACACAGGACAATGCACGTCGCGTATCATCTAATTAACTAGTTGACTTTACCATCACGGACCGCCAATATCCTCGACCTTGCGCTCTATATTTTTGCCGTTTTACTACAAGCCGCCCATCCGACTATCTTTTGTGTGCGTCCGTTTCAACTCCGCTTTGACCAACCATTTCATCGTCCAACCCAGGTCAGAGTGTATATATATATATATATATTGTATAATTTTGTATTTTATTTAGAAACCCTAATTTAGAATAAAACATCTTGTAGCCTGCAGCTGAGAGTTAGATTATTTAACAGTGTGACCGCCCGTTCTAGCTCCTCGGGCGATATATTAAGTTAATAAGGGAGACTTTAAGGCCAATTAGACGTAGACAGCGGCCTAGCCAACCGTTTTCCCGTGGGGATCCGTCTATTTTAGCTTTATCGACGGCCACTTTGCCTAGTCTAGCCAGCTAGACAAGTAGGTCCGTTACAACTTGGTGGAGGCGCCGATTGCCGTTAGTTTTATTTTTTACCCTGGGGGAGAACCCATTTTGCAAGGGAATAAGCTACGGCCACGACCCCATAAAACTGCACTGATTATTTAATTCACTCTCGGTTTGTGTTAAGGTGTTTTATTTTACGGTACAAATTGCTCTGGAATTTTGTAGTATATTTTATTCAACTTAAAATACGTTATTTTTTTTATTCAATTAAAAATTAATTATGAATATCACTCCGCAATGCTTTTCCGGTCAATTGACCGAAGATATTAATGATTATCTAGAAACTTACGATAGGATATCGGCTGCGAACGACTGGAGTGAGGCGCAAAGGCTAATAAGGTTTCCGCTATATTTAAGAGAACAAGCGAAAAAGTTGTATAAAAGAATAGAAACTAAAAGCGCAGATTTAAAATGGGCAGATTTGAAAAAGGAATTTTTAGAGTATTATAATTCAGAGGAGCAACGTATACATTTGAGAGAAAATTTGAATAAGAGAGAAAAACAGGAGGAAGAAAGTTTACAGGAGTATATTCTGAATGTAGTTACCGAATGCAGTCGAGTGAACGATACAATGAGTGAAGAGGAGATTACGAAATTAGTATTGAAAGGATTACCAGAGGATGTTTATTGGAAAATATATACATTAGATAATTCGTCAGTAGAGAAAATAACGAAAAATGTAAAGGCGTATGAAGTTGCTAAGGCGATTCGTAAGAACCCTGCAAAGGAGATCGAGTTTTTGAAAAGAGAGATTGAGGTACTTAAAGTTAGCAAAGATAACGATATTAGTGATGAAGTAAGACGTTTAAGAGAAGAGCTTGAGGAACTTAAAGCTAACATGAATAATAGACCGTTTAAAAGTAATGGTAATTTGAGAATAAATTTTAATAATTATAGAAATAATGGCAGTAAATTTAATGGTAACGGTGAAGGTAAACATTTTAACAAGCGCGATAATAATAATGATTATAGGAATAGAAGTTATCATAATGACGACGCCGCATCCGATAGCAGATATGGACGAAATAGACCTAGGAGTAATTCTGATTATGGTAGAAGTGAGGAAGACGATTTTGATAACCATAGTGAAAACGATTACAACGCGCGTTTTAGGAATAATGATAGACAAGAGAGTAAAAATTATAATACTCCACCCCGAGTAGAAAACATAGGTAGCTGTGTAATTAATAATGCAGATTATAAAGGGAATAATCCAGTAATCATAGGTGTTTTAGATAATGTATCACATCATTTTACTGTTGACTCAGGCGCGACTACTAGCGTTATTAACGAAAATATGCTTCCCAAAAATCATGTAATTAGTTCTTACGGGAAGACAAAATTATATACAGCCAATGGTTCAAAATTAGATTTAGTTGGCAGGTCAACTATTAAAGTATATTTTAATAATATTCCTGTAGAAATACAATGCGCGGTCGTACGAAATTTGAATTGTAATAGTCTTCTTGGAGTTGATTTTCTAATTAAATATAAGGGCGTAGTCAACTTTGTTAAGTCAAAAATACAACTTAACGTGAATAATAAGGAAATACACATCGATTTTTTTAAAAATTATAATAATGGAATTAACATAAATAGGGTTGAAGATAATAACAACAATGGTTATTATATGGCTAATAAGAATGTGAATAATAAAAATAGTAGGATTAGCCAGAATACTAGGATTAATAATGGTAAAAGGAATTTTAAGAATTGTGTGCATAGTAATCATAGCGCTAATAAGAATATTAATTTGGGTAACTTTAATTATTATAAATATTATAGACACCCCCGTGGGTTAAATAATAATCATTCTAGGGCTCTATTCAATGGGAAAAATAGGACAACCCATAATTATTATAATGGAACTAGAAATAGGAAGTTTGAATATAACTGTAATAGTTCTACTTTTAATGATCAATCTAGAAAGGGTATTAGCAATAGACAGAGACCCAATTATACTAGCAGACCATTTATCACTAACCAGCAACATAACATAGGTAACTTTGACCATAACCTAGGAACTCAAAATTATGTTGAAACTCCAATTCCTCTGTTTTCCTCTGTCTCTTGATGGAAATTCCAAGAGGCAGTATAAGGAAAAGGAAAAATAAATTTCTATTTTTCTTTTGTAAAAGTATAATTTTTTGTTTTTTTTGGGGGGGGAATCATACATATAATTATATTATGCGCGAATATATAAATTATTTACTTCTGTTAGGTAGCGTCTTTAAAAATATAAATATAAATTGTAATTCACATTTCTCACGGTGTGATTACTAGGAATACATCTAGCAAAAAAAAAAAAACACATATTTCCTTGTAGGCAGACAACTGCCGTTGCAGGTTTTATAATTTCAAACTAACTGCTATCCCGTAATTATTAACGTTCGATTGTAAGGCAATGCCTTTTTCTGTTATTGCGTTGTCAGAAATGAATCATGGACATGTCCGAGTCTTATTTTCTGACAATCCTTGGACACCAATCCCCGACTCGCACTTCATATTATTATTTGAATTTGACACAATTATAAAATATTATAATACGATTCCTTGACCGTTAGAACAGAAATTTAAAACAACGTATTTAAAAGTGATAATCATGATTTTAACGGAGAACAATAATGTAACATGTACAATCTCAGACGGTACCCGAGACGATATATACACATATACACGCACACACCCGTATGTGCCAGTGATCGCAATGTTTTGCTGACGTTGTAATTTCTGGGACAATTTTTATTGTAATATTAGTTAGAAGGTTTTAATATTATTTTTCATAATATTAAATAAATAAGTGATTTTTTTTTTCCCTCAAGACAAAGTAAATTATATTATCAAAATATAAAAGAGTAAATATTATCGGTCTGTGCCGTGCAATTATGCAAACGTGTAAAAATAATTATCTTTATATTTTGCCCCGTAAATATAAATAAGCAATTAGGATCGGAACGTCATTTATGTATTACTGTAATTTCCAGAAGTAGGTCATTTTATGGTCCATTTTAGTCGCGACCCCTATTTGTCAGCCTAGGATAATATGAACTAGGTCAATTTTTTTTCCAACTATATTAGAATTTAATATTCACTTACTACTTCTGCCGTACGCCTATTGCTAAGTCATCAATACTACCGAATTATTTGCCGATTTTATTTACATCATCGTTTTTGCCGACGCGTACTAAATAGTACCTATTTGCCGTTTGTTTCATCTTTAGTCGCACGTTGCCGCCCGCAGCCAAGGAGGCGATCATATTCGGCCGCACGTTGCCGCTTTTAAGATAATCAATTTGAATTTGATTTTGTATGTTTTTATTTGCCAATTGCCGTTTTTGCCATGGCCATAGATCGCCGCAATTTTAAATTGCCGCATACCTATTGTTGCCGATATTGCCGCCTAAGTGCCGCATTTTAACCGCTAAGTTCAATATTTTATTGATTTATTTTGCCGTTGGTCTGGAGACCAACATTTTTACCACACCATATAACACATATCTTTGAATTTCGAAAGTCGATCATATGGGTAGTTTAAGAGAAAGGAGTAGCTAACCTTTATTTTATACGTCCGGATCGAATTTTTGAATTTTAAATATTTTGGTTGTTAATACGCGAATGTCATCAGCGATTTTGGTAGTGAATAAATACATATTTCCGGTTGGTTACCGTTGAGTTTTTATATTTTATTTATACGGCTGTTTGTCTCTGCGTTTGTTCAGATTGACTGTTATATTATTATTTGGCAAATATTTTCCCGGCTAACCCCCGGTGACCGTCCGGTTTTACCGTTGACATGTTTTTTACACGGCACTGTCTCTGACGATCTCAGATTGACTTATTTTACTTGTCGAATAATATTTTATTATTTTTATCAACCAATGGACGACTATTATGTCAGATCACGAGTTGTCATTACATTATGCGGCGTATTAATTTTTCGGCTTTATAAAATAATTTCGGATTAGTTAATGAAATAATGACTGATATTTTACACGGCGTTTCGTTTTCGATTAACTGTTTTTGACTATGTTCACATTAAATCGGATTTTAACGAATTAATTTTATTGACACAAGGTGTGCAGATGCAACCAATATTTTCTTTTTACGGCGATTTTATTTTTATATGCATAATTTTGCGCATGCTGATTTCCGTAACTATATGAAATTATTTTGAAATAGTTTCGTTTATTTATTTTTTATTTTAATAAAAATATTTTATTTTTCTTATGAGAACACTTACAATTTTAAAGGGTACTTACGTTAAATGACGTCCGAGTTGCTTGTATTATCAAACCCAAAATGTCTGACCACATAATTGATTCTATTCTTATTTAAATGTTAATTTTCCAAAGCAATGTGTATTTAGGGGCTATATAAAATTATTTATCAATTAATTATACTGTATTTCATTAAGTATATATATATATATATATGTATGTCTTATTAAGTCGACTTTTACATTAAGTTTTAGGCGCAGCGGTACGGTGGTCAACTTATAAAACTGTCTTTTTAAAGACAACCTGTTTGTTAATAATGCCTTTGTTTTACATATTTCTATTATATACATATATATTGACCGATTGTTATAGTTAAAATAAATCATTTCCTAGGCATACGATACGCCAAAGGCGCAAGATTAGCCGACGTCAAAATATTTTTGTAATTTTTTTTGTATCGTATGTGTAATGTTTGTATACATTTTAGAAAAAAAAAAAACCGCGTAACGACCTGGGGACGGACATAATTACTTTCTTTAATTTAAATTGTTTACGGAAAACTACCCTACAATTAATCAAAATACACCTGAAGGTGCGTGCATTCTTTAACTTAAGTGTATATTGTAAATGGTCTGGTTTTTTATGCAGCTTTTTCCCCAGAGCCATTAAGTTAACTTAAATTCTATTAATTTGTGATCACACATCATTTTATTTTATAAATATTATTCACCGGATGCACGCCCACATTGTTTGTGACCCAACAGATTTTAACTTAATAATGACGAAATTTTTAAACGTGGATTATTGTTAAATTTTAAGAACACTATTTTTGGGGAGGACTTTGCGAAGACCCGGTGTTCCGTTTTTGCCCCGAGCTTATGCCAAGAATGCGACGATAGGGCGGGCCATTTTCCGATGCAGAGGGAATGCAACAATGATGTGGCCCTAGACTGAGAGGGATGTCCTTCCAGCACTTAGAAGTCACCAGAAGTCCACCAAAAAAAAAAAAACAAGTGTTCTTTCCCCCACTTAGTTTTAAGGGTTCACCTTTATTTTCAGGAATTTTTGTACCACCATTTCGTTTCTTTTGCTTTTCAACCTTTTTTTTGACAACCCTTAACTTTATACCACTAGGTCCGAGGTCGGACCTCTACGGGGGAGGGGCAGCTGTAACGATCATATTTCACTTGACCGTTACTTCGCGTCCCAAACCAACTGACACAGCACCCCCGTCTATAGGTAGGGGAACGGTCGCACACACAGGACAATGCACGTCGCGTATCATCTAATTAACCAGTTGACTTTACCATCACGGACCGCCAATATCCTCGACCTTGCGCTCTATATTTTTGCCGTTTTACTACAAGCCGCCCATCCGACTATCTTTTGTGTGCGTCCGTTTCAACTCCGCTTTGACCAACCATTTCATCGTCCAACCCAGGTCAGAGTGTATATATATATATATATATATTGTATAATTTTGTATTTTATTTAGAAACCCTAATTTAGAATAAAACATCTTGTAGCCTGCAGCTGAGAGTTAGATTATTTAACAGTGTGACCGCCCGTTCTAGCTCCTCGGGCGATATATTAAGTTAATAAGGGAGACTTTAAGGCCAATTAGACGTAGACAACGGCCTAGCCAACCGTTTTCCCGTGGGGATCCGTCTATTTTAGCTTTATCGACGGCCACTTTGCCTAGTCTAGCCAGCTAGACAAGTAGGTCCGTTACAAGTTAACAAATAAAAATTCAGGCTTTTAGGGCTCAAACTGTTATATGTAATTATTAGTTAAGTAATTAAAACTATTTTTTGATAGTTCTTAAAAAAAATTTAAAAAAAGATTTTATATGTTAAATATTAAGCTAAATATATGTATGTGGTTTATCAAAAAAAGAAATTCCTTAGGGTTCTACTGTATATACTGGGAAACCCTGCATTAACTATGTGTTTAAAAGTTGTGTAAGTATTATGTACCTGTATACTATTATTGCATCTTGATTTAATTACTTTAATTTGAAAGCAAATTTGTGTAGCTTTATTTAGTATGAATTATTATTATACACATTGTTTAACAACAAATATATCAGTTTTCTGCTCCTAATTTATAATTATGAGATGCAAATTTCAATATACGTTTAATCCGACGTTCACTAACCCGAAACACTACTGTCTATTCCACCCACTGGTTAAACGTTGTTTAAAAGTCTCGTAAAGTGCGATCTAAAGCTTTAATTGCACGTTTGTTTGTAATTGTACATTCATCCCACACTATAAGCTTACAATATGTCAGATCTTTAACGAGTTGTGTTTCACGTTAGATGCCATAAACAGGAGTTAATGTAACCTTTTCGACCTTCAGGCAAAAGCGTAGCTAAAATCCCTTACAAAGGAACTGCTAATATTCGTATAATGTCTTATTTCTACGTACGTTACCGGTTAAACGTTTTAAATACAAACGTCTATGTTGCATTTTGTGTTACCCGTGTGCATCGAAACAGAACATATAAGGGCCATAGGTTGAATATACGGATCCGTATTTTGTATTAAAAACGGTTTTCTGTTTGAATTTCAATATTATTTCGCTTTTATCTATGGTTTGGCTCAAATTAAAGACTTTTAATTAAGACTTCAGTGGAACGTGGGTTCTAAAGTATAAAGGTTATGAGAATGAACACGAGGTAAATTGTAATTCTACACAACTTCGATTATTGTTAGTACTTTATTTTATACAGACTTATTGTAAGATGTTTCAGAGTGTGGTTGTTACATTTTATACAAAATATCCTTTGACATGGCATAATGATCATCCAACCAACGTTTTAGTGGATCGAACATTTTACATAAATTTGGAATTAATGTTAATAAATCATAAATTGTCTAGAAGAGTAGAAATTAATGTGGCTTTTTCAGTTGCAAATGAACAGGATATTTGTATCAATTTCTTCCAAATCTAGATAAGTCACAAAACTGTTGTTCTTATTCCTCTATTTGAGAAGGATCATTTATAGTATTTTATATAACCATCTTCGACGGTTTCGATAATACAAAATAAAAAAATTCATTTTAAGTCCATTTTTTAAAGTTTTTAGTAAAGTAATACTTCTATCATTACAATCATTATTGTTTTCTATGTATAAAACAAATAAACTTTGAATAGGTAATTTTTAGTAAAAAAATAAAACTAGGAGTCAGCATTAAATTATATATATATATATATATATATATATATATATAAAAGTCAAACCACAGTTAAGTCACAAAATTCAATTTAGGTATAAAATTAAACAAAACAAATTTTACGATTTACCAACAATCCATATTTAATTAAATGAAGTAATTTGTGTCCATCCATTTACCAGAGAGAAGGTAAAAGTTCAAGTTGTTACAACTTAAAAGTTACAATTATTCTTATTTTGTTATTTGCTGTTAAAGCATATATTATGTCTTATTTCTACTAGAAATACTATTGTTAAATTTTCAAACTAAATTAAAAAAGCCAGTGCAGTAGGGTCAGGGCATAGTAAGGATTAAGTTTGACTAACTTGCAGTTTTGATTTCTGATCTATAAAGTTGCTACACGAAGAAATCGGTTCAGTGGCTTAAAAGATATCAAGGGAACAGACACAAGAAAAAACATTTTAATAAAAAAATAAAACACTTCATTATAAAAACAACCTTCTCAGCTACGCATTAAAGCTAAAATAAAAATGTTGTCAACATTTATTAAATTATAACTAAATTTAAATTTAGTTGTGGGTTAATTATACGCCTGCAACTATACTATGAGATTTATGAGTCGGTAATTTGTTTTGTTCTTATTAATTTCTCAAGATTTTTTTTTCGTTAAAATTTCCAAAATTTATACTAATTAGGATATATTTTAGACTAAATACATTTTTGATGTAATTTATATATGGCTAATTAATTGTTGTGTTTTTTTTTAATATTTTGCGTTTTCTTAATAAAAAAATAAATAAATTTAAATGTTAGTTTAAAATACCTTAATAAAGCAAAATAAATAAAGTTGCTCATATGTATGTCTAAAAAAATATGTTTTATTAATTAAAAGATTTTATTTTAATGGTAAAATAAACAAATTAATACCACAAAATAGTAAATAAACAATATAAAACAATATATACTCGTATTTAAAGTATGTTTAATGTTAATAATTTATAAAGAAAATATAACTATAATTTATAAATAGTTTTTTGGCTGTTTATATTAGACTGATCTATGAAAAAATTGTAAAGAATTTCTCATAACATGTTATTTCGGAAAACCCATAATTTTAAAAACATTTCAATTGAACAAATGTGTTTCAAAAGGTCAATACCATTTGACATACTATTTTTTGTAGAAATATATAACTAACTATTTTAAAATTTAAAAAACAAATTGGTTTTGACTTTGAGAAAACATTTTTTTTTTCATCTTTTAGAATGTAACTTGGTTGTAATATTAATGTCGATATGGACGAAATAAAATATCGCGTCTACTGAAAAGTCGATAAAATAAATGTGTTACGTTTTGTAAAGTTTACCTTGTGAAATGCAACACAAATTTAATAATGCAAGTATCAAATATAATAAATTCGCTAAAGGTAGTGATTCGAAAGAGAGTACCTATTGTGATTTGCGCTATATTATGATTATGTTATGTGTTCTTCTGACAACCATACATAGCTTTTTCCCATAATATAATATCGTAAATCTATCTTTACCGTGAAGAACTTGCACGTCTATTGTCGATAAAAAAATGTGAAGCGTACCCATGTGTAATCTATTATATTATACGTCTGGATATACCAGTTTTTTTTTTAGCAATAACGTCATATTCCTTAAGTATGAAAAGAAAAAGATTATTCTTCAACAATCCTGATAAAGAATTTTCCGTTCGTATTTCAAGTGTTAGAACGCCGTTATTTTGTTAAAAGAAAACTACATATGTCGTTTAAATCTTGTCACCCTCCGCTTCCTCATGCGAGGACGAACATCACCTATCCCCGACCGTCCGGGCTGTTGGGGATAAGTCTCACCCGTGGAATCATACGTCCGTCTATTTGTCCCACACCGCTTCATTTCACAATAATATATAATATATATATATATATATATTTTTTTTTTTATTCTCGTGTTAGTGAAGACATTTAATAAACGGGCTTACGCTCATACCACGGACCAAAAATTGTGTTAAGTTATGTTTATTTTTATTATTTCCCTTTGTCTCTTTCTTTTAAATTTTACGTGCGATCCGCTAAACATGCTCCCGTCAAATATAGATACTACTAAATTTTAATTTTGATCAAGAACAACTTATTTTTAATTAAACGCGTAAACCGGTAACAGTCTTATAATACTTCAATACGTCTTGTTTCATGCATCGGCGGAAATAATTTTTTAATATGTTTTTTTTTTATACTTTTGTAAAATCATTCAAAAACTTTTAAAGCTATAGACATTTTCGAATTGAAACAATTAATTAATTAAAAAATAACTTCAAAATCGTAACTTCTAGTACATATGTATTATAAATGTTAGGCAGAATTCAAACGTTTTTTATTAACACGCTTATATTAGCTTCACTTGTATGTATGTATATATGTATGTTTGTATGTTTGTATGTAACTTTGTAACTATGTAATTATGTAACTAAAAGAGATAGGCAACCGAACGTACATGCGTGTATTCATTGTTGTTTACCTGAAGTTTTCAAGTAATAGAGACACGTATGTACTAGAATTAAAATACACGATTTTAAAGCACATCGAACTAAAAAGTGGAAAATAAAAAAATATAGTTAAAAAAAACTAAAAAACACGCTTAAATAGTAAAATAAACTAAAAAGTACAAAATAATTTTCAATATAGAAATCAATTAATAAAAAATAAATAGTATTATTGTGAAAAAAGTGTGGGGCGCTTTTCAAGAACTGATATATGTAGCACCCCTCGCTTTTTTCACAATAATACTATTTATTTTTTATTAATTGATTTCTATATTGAAAATTATTTTCTACTTTTTAGTTTATTTTACTATTTAAGCGTGTTTTTTAGTTTTTTTAAACTATATTTTTTTAAAAACTTAAAACTCTTAGTATAGCGGTACACAAATTTAATAAAAAATGGAACATAAAATTAGATGCCTCTTTTCTATGTTAGCTTATGACTATATGAGCATATCAATTTTAGCTTAATGTTCAATTTTATTAAATAGTTACCTATATATTGCGTCTTAATAAATATCGTACAAAGATTTTTCGAAAATTTGCATATATGTACATTCCTCCGTAATAAATGAGTGGTTTGGCCAGTGCCGTAACTTCACCGGAGTCAAAAACCCCGGTGCAAACAAATATTTATTGACCCTACTTGAGTCTTGTAAATTTAGTACATATAAAATACATGTGAAATACTATTTACTAATAACTAAAATTGACGTACTATTGTACTCAGGTCTAAGTCTAAATAGATAGCGATGAATTTATTACTATTCGTAGTCTTTAAACATTGAATACTGTATAATAATTAG